CGCCTCCACCGTTGCAGCAGCAGCAGTCGCCGCAGCCGCAGCCTCCGCAGCAGCCGCAGCAGCCGCCGCAGACGAGGCCGGCGAGTGCTCTCCCTCCTGGGTGGCCTGGAGCTAGTGGTGGTCGTGCGCGTGGTGGTGCACCGGGTGGTGGTTCTGGAGGCGGGCCCTGTCAGTACCAGATCCAGACCGGTCCTCGCCGCGGTTTCGTTTGCGGTAAGATCGGTCATTCCACTCCTCGCTGTTTTCGTCGTCTAGACGACCTGTTCCGCCAGCGCTTTGGCCCGGCGCCCGACCTCCCGGACTGGCACAGCTTGCTTAGGCGTAGCATTAGGATTTTTGACTTGGACATGGATGCCATTGTAGCAGCCTTGCATGTGATGTATGCCGATGACTCTAGTGTGCTTCCCTCTTATTACCCCGTGTTGCCTAGTGTAGCTGTGCCTAGCGTAGACTCCCCTGCTGCGTCAGGCGTAGGATCTCCTGCTTTGCTTAGCCTCGGTGCTTCCACCGCTACACTGCTGCCTCGCGCGACTGCTGCGCTTTCCTTCACCTTGGACTCTGGCGCCTCCCGGTGTTTCTTCCGCGACTCCACGACGCTGACGCCGCTGCCTGTTCCCGCTGCAGTTACTCTTGCTGACCCCTCCGGTGGTCCCGTCGTTGCCCGCAGTTCCACCTCCCTTCCCTGTCCGGCGGTTCCTTCAGGTTCGCTCACCGGTCTGCATATCCCCTCGTTCTCCAGGAACCTAGTTGGTGTCGGCTGCCTCCAGGACCTTGGCGTCACCACTACGTTCCCTGGTCACGAGCGGTATGCTGTCTGTACCGAGGCCGCCACTGGTGCCCTCCTTACCACTTTCCCCCGGGACCCGGTGTCCGGCCTGTTCACACTTGACACCCCGACGTCCCCGGCTGGGTCTTCCCCCCAGGTAGCTGCGTCCACCCAGGTTGCTGCCGCGTGCTCCTGTCGGTCCCTCACTCACCCGACTCTCCTTTGGCACCACCGCCTTGGTCACCCTGCACTCCCACATCTGCGTCACATGTCCCAGCACGGTCTCGTCCTTGGTCTCCCAGGTTCGTTCCCTGAGTTTCCCTCCTCCCCCGCCCCACCGTGCACGCCTTGTGTCGAGGGCCGGCTCCGCCGTGCCCCTCACTCCTCCTCTTTTCCCCCTACCACCGCACCACTGCAGACTCTGCACATGGATGTCTGGGGCCCAGCCCCGGTCCATGGGCCGCGTCGCGAGCGCTTCTTCCTAGTGCTTGTCGACGACTTCACGCGCTACACCACCGTCTTCCCCCTGGAGCGGAAGGCCGACGTGCCTGACGTTCTCATCCCCTGGCTTGTCTCTGCTCGTGTCCACCGCGGTCTCCCTGCCTTGCGCCTCCACTCCGACCGGGGTGGCGAGTTTGCCTCAGGTGTCCTTGGTCGCTTCTGTCGTGCGGAGGGCATTACCCAGACGTTTACCCTGCTGGACTCCCCGCAGCAGAATGGGGTCGCTGAGCGACGCATCGGTTTGGTCATGGAGGTGGCTCGCACCTCCATGATCCACGCCGGTGCACCCCATTTTCTGTGGCCGTTCGCCGTGCGCTACGCCGCTCACCAGCTTAACCTGTGGCCGCACCCCCAGCGGCCGCAGGTTTCGCCGACCCTTCTGTGGACCGGGTCCCCTGGTGACGCGTCTGCGTTCCGCGTCTGGGGCTGCCTTGCTCACGTTCGTGCCTCTGGCACGGACAAGCTCACTGCCCGCACTCTCCCCTGCGTCTTCCTCGGTTTCCCCCTTGACGCGTCCGACTGGCACTTCTACCACCCGCCGTCTCACCGCTTTTTTCACTCTCGCGACGTCACCTTTGACGAGTCCGTCTCCTTCTACCGCCGCTTTCCCCACCGTGGTCCCCCGGTTACTCCCCCCCTGTTCCTGGTTCCTCCCTCCCTGGTGGTCCCTGCCCCTCCCCCCCCCCGCCCCCCCGTCCGGCCCCCTCTGGTGTGTCTCACGTCACCCCCCTCCCGTCGGTCGTCCCAATCGACGAGTCTTCTGACTCTGGTAGTCCTCCGGCGCAGTCCTCGCCGTCTGTCCCTCCCCCGGTGTCTCCTCCTCCACCGCCTCCGCAGCCGCCGTCGCCGCAGCTGCTGCAGCCGTCGTCTCCACCGCCGTCGCCGTTGCAGCCGTCGTCTCCGCCGCCGCCGCCGTCGCAGCCGCCGCCCGCCGCCGCCGCTGTCGTCGCTGCCGCTGTTTGTGGACTCTGGGGGTGGTACCGGTGCTGGTGGGGTTTCGGGCTCTGGGGGTGTCCCTTCTGGGGGTGCCGGTGTGGAGGTTTCGGGAGGTAGCCGTCGCACAGCTTGTGGCCCTGGCGTTGGTGTTGTGTCGCCGCAGCAGCAGTCCCCGCCGGTGTCCGCCCTCCGTCTGCTCGGCCTTCCGTCCCCTGACCCTGCGCCTGTTCCTCTCCTGCCGTCTCCTCCTCTTCCCGTCTACGGCCCTGTGTTCCCTCTGCCGGACTCGTCCCCGGCTCTTCTTCCCCTCGTTCCCCTCCTGTGTCCCCTCCTCTGTCTCCTGACCCGACGCCGCCCTCTCACGTCTGGTCTCGCCGCCCCTCCCGTGCTCGTCCTGTCTCCCCCGTCCCGCGCTCTCACCCTATGTTGCTCCGTTCCCACGCGTCTCGTCCTCCCCTCCTCCCGTCTCCTCCTCCGTCTTCTCTTGTCGTTGCGTCTCCTCCTCTGTCCGACTACTTTCGTGCCGCTCGTCCTCTTGTTCCTCGGGTCCTTGCCTCTCTCGTTACCGACCCGTCTGTTCCAGTGTCGAGTCTTGACGCCCTCGTCGCTGCGGTCGCTGACTTCGCCTCTACCCGCCGCCTTGACTACGCCACCGCTCTGGTCTCTGACCCTGCCTGTCCTCCGTCTGTCGGGGGTGCTCTTGCCCTCGGCAGTGACGTCCTGGAGGACCGCCAGTTCGAGCTTGCTTTCCTGTCCGAGGCTGCTCCCCATCTCTGTTCCATGCTGCTAGTCCCTGAGGGTGACCCAGACGCTTTCGACATCCCGACCCCTCGTACTTACGCTGAGGCGGTTTCGGGACCCTGGGCCTCTCAGTGGATAGCTGCCATGGAGCAGGAGATGGCATCTTGGAGATCCACCGGCACCTTCGTCGACGCAGTTCCCCCACCTGGGGTGAACGTGGTCGATGGCCGTTGGCTCTTCAAGGTGAAGCGCCCTCCTGGAGAGCCGCCTGTGTTCAAGGCGCGCTACGTGGCTAGAGGCTTCAGTCAGCGCGAGGGGGTGGACTTCTTTCAGACTTTCGCTCCTACCCCGAAGATGACTACTCTTCGGGTTCTGCTACACGTAGCGGCTCAGCGTGACTACGAGCTTCACTCCCTCGACTTCTCCACTGCCTTTCTTCAGGGCAGCCTTCACGAGCAGGTCTACCTGCGTCGTCCTCAGGGCTTTACTGGCACCTTCCCCCCCTGGGACTCAGTGGCTTCTGCGGCGCCCAGTCTACGGCCTGCGCCAGGCACCTCGTGAGTGGCACGACACGCTGCGTGCTACCCTTGCTGACCTGCAGTTCTTTCCGTCCTCTGCAGACCCCTCGCTCTTCGTTCGTGCTGGCTCGACTCCGTTCTACATCCTCGTCTACGTAGACGACCTGGTCTTTGCCACTGCTGACAGGGACGCACTGGCCTCCGTGAAGGCAGAGCTGCTGAAGAGACACACCTGCACTGACCTTGGAGAGCTGCGCCGTTACCTTGGCTTGCAGATCTCCAGGGACAGAGCCGCGCGCACCATCACCCTGACTCAGTCACACTTGGTGCGCCAGGTCCTTCAGAGGTTCGGCCTTCAGTTCTCCTCCGCACAGCCCACCCCTCTTCCTCTGGACCACAGACTCTCCGCTCCAGTTCCTGAGGAGTCGGTAGATCCCAGTGGTCCTTACGCTGAGCTAGTGGGTTGCCTCATGTACCTGATGACTTGCACTCGCCCAGATCTCGCATACCCTCTCAGCATCCTGGCTCGTTTCGTGGCCACAGGCAGACACCGACCTCAGCACTGGTCTGCCGCTAAGAGGGTTTTGCGTTATCTTGCAAGTACATCGGGCATGGGGTTAGTGCTAGGCGGACGCAGGCCAGTGGTCCTTACTGGACACACAGACGCTTCTTGGGCAGACGACGCCGAGACGCTCAGGTCTTCCCAGGGCTACTGCTTTAGCCTTGGCTCAGGTGCTGTCTCGTGGAGAGCTACCCGCTCTCGTCTGTTGCCCAGTCCAGCTGTGAGGCTGAGATCTACGCCGGTGCCATGGCGGCACAGGAGCTCCGCTGGCTGACCTTCTTGCTCACTGACTTAGGTGAGCGGCCTAGCTCTGCCCCGGTCCTGTACGCTGACAACAGGGCCATGATCCTCCTGTGTCAGGAGCCTCGACTCGAGGGCAGAGCGAAGCACATCCAGCTGCGGTACTTCCTCCTGCGTGAGCTACAGCAGCGTCGCCAGGCTCGCGTAGTACACTTGGCCCTCTGGTGCCAACACAGCTGATATCTTTACGAAGGCGCTTGCGCCTAAAGATCATCAGCGGCACTGTGTACAGCTTGGTCTGGTTCCTGTAGTCTCTCACTTACTCGGGCCCTTGACTTTGTACTGTCCCATATATATATGAGTACACTCAGACTGGACTTGTGTCCTCTCACAGTGGTTGGACTAGTAGTGCCGCCCTGTACTAGTTCTTGCCTTGCCTGTACTCCTTCTGACTGGTCTTTTAGACCCTTGTCTCAGAGGCTGGACTAGTAGTGCCACCCTGAGCTGTTTGTCTAGAACATTCCCCTATGCAGTCCAGGGGGTGTGTCAAACATGTGTAGTTATCATGTTTGTATAGACTGTATAGGGTCACCTCCTAGAGGGTACAACATTTAGGTATATGTTTGTGTACTCTCCCTCTCTATTCATTCAATTTACTGTTTGATAGTTGTGACTGACCGTTACAATAGCGCGGATGGTAACCGAAGCGACAATCGAGTCGCTGTGCGATCCAGCATGTACCCTGCTTCCAGATGCACTTATGAGCTCTCATCTGCAGGAACCTCAATTTGTTCATTGTTCGATACAGGCGTAGGAGAAGCCTCCTGAATTGCAGCATCGGAAGAACTCAAACCCACCGAATTAGCTGGGCTGTGGAAAGCCGCACCCGGGGGAGCTCGAGCAGCGACCAGAGAGGGCTCGATGCAGGTGCGTGTGAGGCGGGAGACCACGCTGCGCAGCACCTTCTTCTTGTGCATGCGGTACCGCACCATCACCATCCTCTCCTCCACCGCAGGTAAGATCGATCTGCACCACGCAGAAAACGCCTCGTGCTCTTCCTCCTCTCTGCCCTCCTTCCCCTCCTGTTTCTCCCTCTGCTTCTCCCCCTGTTTCTCCCCCTGCTTCTCCCCCTGCTTCTCCCCCTGCTTCTCCCCTGCTTCTCCTCCGCCTCCTCCCTCCCCTGCTTATCCTCCCCTGATTTTGCCGAACCTACCACCGAGCCTCTTCCCCAGGCTTGGCAGGACTGCAGCTTCAGAAGCACGGCGTCGTCCTCTTCCACGGAGGTGGGGTACCGAGCCAGTCGGTACTCCGCTAGCAGACGAATGGTGTCGGCCGCGGCGACCACGGCCGGCATGAGGGTGGAGTAGTTTGGCAGGACGTGCAGGCAGGTTCTGTTTCCGGATAGGTCCCAGCTGTAGAGCACAGAGCCCAGCGCCAGGTCAGCGTAGTGGGGCTCTGGGAGGGGGATGGTGAGGGGCATCAAAAAGGGGGAGGGGGTGCGTGTACTTCCAAGTTAGAGAGCCAGAGACGCATGGCCCGCCCCAGCTGTAGAGCACAGAGCCCAGCGCCAGGTCAGTGTAGTGGGGCTCTGGGGGGAGGGGGAGAGAGGGGTGCAGTGCCAGGGGGCACGAGGGTGGTTGTGGGAGGGGTGGGGAAAGGGGAGGTGGGTTGCAGGTTCTGTTTCCGGATATGCCCCAGCTGTAGAGCACAGAGCCCAGCGCCAGGTCAGCATAGTGGGGCTCTGAGACGAGAGAGAGGGGGGGGACGAGGACAGAGAAGTCAATTGGAGGGTGGTGGTGGTATGGTGGTGGCGGGCTCGTTGGGTGGTTGGAGAGTCAGACACACAGGCACACAGACACACAGACACAGAGACACACAGACACACAGACACACAGACACACATGGCTCGCCTCAACTGTAGAACACGGAGCCAATGGCTAGGTCAGCATAGTGGGGCACTGGGGCCGTGTGGAAGGGTTGACTTGGAGTCAATGGAAAGTCAGCAGGGTGTTCGGTTCAGGCCGAGACGATCACAAGAGATGCTTGCAACGAGAGTGTGAACTGGGAAGGTGAGTACTCGATCTGGTCAAGATGACGTGACGCCTTTACGCACTCGCCACCTTGCTCGCAGTGCGCCATGTGTCAGATAGCTGCTAGCGGCACCAGGCAGCAGTGTGGCCGCTTCTGCTGCACCCCCTTCGCCTTCACAATGCCCGAGCAATATCAAAACCACAATCACTGAGATCCACCCACCCACCCACCAACCTTGAGGTAAGATGGTTTTTTTGAATTCCCCAAAACCAGCTTGCAATATCGGAACCACAATCACAGAGACCCAGACCCACCCACCTTGCAAAAAGTACAACAGTGCAATATTGCTGCTGAGGAGTCTATTTTCCAAGCGCCAAAAATGGTCTCCTCAATTTTGTATTAGACGCCGAGAAAATACACCCACCGTGCAAAAAGTTAACCAGGTGCCATATGGCTGCTGGCGATGCCAGCAACGTTGGCTCCACTAGTCCTTGCTCGTAGTGCACCATGCGCCATATGCCCGCCAGCGACGCCAGCAGAGTGGGCTCCACTAGTCCATACTGGGCTCTTCTGCTGCACGCCCTTCTCCTTCACAATGCCCGCGCAACATCAGAACCACAACCACGGATACCCACCCACCCACCCTGCAAAGAGGACAACAGGTGCCGTATGGCTGCTGAGTCGTCTATTTTTTAGGCGCCTATAAAATAAAATCCCCCCCCACCCCCCTTTCCTTTCTTTTAGGTGCCGTATGGCTGCTGGCGATGCCAGCAGCGTTGGCTCCATTGGTCCATACGCCCACACCAACACCTCCTGCTGCACGCCCTTCCCCCAATCTCCTTCATGGAGACGTTAAATATCCAGCCCAAAGACTCACCTTGCACGTAGTGCACCAGGTGCCAGATAGCTGCCAGTGATGCCAGCAGAGTAGGCTCCACTGGTCCATACGCCCACACCAACACCTCCTGCTGCACGCCCTTCCTCATCTCCTTCAAAGAGACGTTGAAAATCACAGCCCAAGGACTCGCCTTGCTCGTAGTGCACCACGCGCCATATGGCCGCCAGTGACGCCAGGTGAGTGGGCTCAACTAGTCCATACGCCCACACCGACACCTCCTGCCGCTGATAGTGCAGCGGGAGGTCTGTGCACAGAATAAAGGGTTGGGAGATCTACCTTGCTCGTAGTGCACAAGGTGCCACGTGGCCGCCAGCGACGCCAGCAGAGTGGGCTCCACCACTCCATACGCCCACACCGACACCTCTTGCTGCACGCCCAACTCCCTCTCCTTACCCCTCTTCCCCTCAACCTCCTCTGACTCCTCCCCACGGCTCTCACGCCCTCCTTTTCTCCTCCCCAAGCGCCTCCACGCGGCGTCATCCACGCGCTGCTTCACATTGAACTGCGGCATCTTGAGCGCATCCGTGTAATTCCCATCCTCCGCCTCCTCCACCACCGCCTCCACCGCCCTCCCCGCCACCCTCAGCAGATCCCTGTACAGAGCCTTGCCCGACTTCCCTGCGGGCGAATATTGGCTGGAAAATCCCATCTGAGGGGTCTCTGAAGCGCTAGAGAGTGCTCCGGGTGACCTTTCTCCCAGGGAGGGTTCAGTTATGCTGCTGAGGGGAGTGCCTGCTGTCCCTGCAGCTGCTGCGCTCTTGGCATGCTCCTTGCCACTGTCGCTGCTGCTGGTGCTGATGCTGCCACTGCTGCCATCACCACCACTACTGCTACCGCCACCTTCAGCAGCCGCTGCTGCAGGTCTTTCCTCAGTCAGCCAGATCCCCTCCAGAGCCCTCACCAGCTCCACCTCCCCCGGATAAACCTCCTCTCTCCCTCCCTCTCCCCTTCCCCTTTACTTCCCCTCTCCTCCACCCACCTTCCTTCCACTCTCACTTCCTCCACTCTCCCCCCCTCCCTTCCCTATCTCACTCGCTCCTCCTCCTCCCCTCGCCCTGCCCCCATTGGCCAGCAAGGCTGCCACCCGCCTATGGCCTCTGTGAGATTCTCGAACAGGGGCACGCCGTCGAAGGGGTTGGGGTCCAGCACGAAGCCGTAGGTGCAGAGCAGCTGGTCGTTGGTCTTGGGGCCGTACGAGGTCGACAGCTCTGAGCCTGCTGAGATATTGAAAATCGGTGTGTATTGGAACACTTCGGTGATCTGAGGGGGGGTCGGGGTGGGTGTAAAGATGGGGGACGTCATCGGGGGGGTTAGGGCGGAGCACGAAGCCGTAGGTGCAGCGCAGCTGGTCGCTGGTCTTGGAGCCATATGAGGTAGACAGTTCGGATCCTGCTGAGGCGTTGAAGGTGGGTATGTACTGAAACACATCGGTGATCTGGGGGGCGGGTGTAGGGATGGGCGAACGGAGAGGTTAGCATCAAGCACGAAGGGGCTGGGGTGGGGCACGAAGCCGTAGGTGCAGAGCAGCTGGTCGTTGGTCTTGGGGCCGCACGACTTGGACAGCTCGGAGCCTGGGGAGATGTCGATAATTGGTCTGTACTGGAAGTGATCGGTGATCTGAGGAATCAGAGTGGGCGGCGTGGGGGGTGGGGGGAGAGGGAGGGGGGATGGGGAGCAGAGCTATGGGGGCGACCATAGATGGGGTGGAGCTCTACCCCTGCTGTCACGTTAAAGATGGTATGTCCTGGAAGTGATCGGTGATCTGGGATTCTGGGGGTGGGGGGAGGAACTTGGAGGGAGGTAGGGAGAAGGACGAAGGGGTAGGGAGCATAGAACATGGAGATCCCAAGGCCTCTTTTATTTGCTCAAAAGCCACAATTAACTAGCCAACCAACCACTCACTTTGTAATGAATGGACGAGTTCACTTGATGGTCCAGCAGCTCGGCTGGAGTGATGAGTGCCATGGGCATGCCTCTAACTACCTGCCGGTTCGACTGCTTCAGCCCCCCCACCTTTACAATGCATTGAAAAAGTCGTATTTGAGATTGAATAGGGTGTTTTTGAGAATTCTAAAAAACACCCTGCTTCAGCACCCCCACCTTTTCAACGCATTGACAAGGTCGTATTTGAGAGAGGATAAAGATATTTGAGTCGACTCAAAAATCACCTACGGATAAAGAGAACTAGTTGGAGAGTGAAGAGGAACAACGAAGATGTGGGCATACAGGATCTTAACCCCATAACATCCCTGCGAGACTATTCGTGGATCCACCACCACGGTCGAAGAATAAACACGATCCGAATGAATATCACCACACGCAGATTTCGGACACGGGAGCGGTGCTTGAAGGACATTGATTCGGATCATGCTTATTCTTCGTCCGTGGTGTCGGATCCACAAACAGTCACGCAGGGATGCTGTGGGGTGCAGATCCCGTGTGCCCATGCCTTCGTCGTTCCTCTCCACCCGCCGTTTCGTTCTCTTTATCCAATCTTAAACACCATATTTTCAGTCCATTGGCCGGGACGACCATCCTTCCCTCCAGAGATACAGGCGGCGTAACTCGTACTAGCGGCAAATTAACGGTGGTTAGAGTTACATCAATGCGAGTGCAGAAGAGGCAATTCATGTTTTGGAGTAAGGGACAGCTGTGTGGCGAGAGCTGGGGGACGACGAGACAACAGAAGACTGACCTACACACGGGAGCGGAAAGGTGTTAGCTAGAATTGTTGGACCACCCGGGATCACACAGCAGCGCAATAATAAGCCGCGGTGATCTACAAACGGCATGCCGCACACGACCCGGTGGTTGTTTGGCAGAGGAGCCACGCTTCAGCAGTCCGTCAGTCAGTACTAGCCCCACACTCAGTGACTCACTAGCGTGGCTCCTCTGGTTGTATTGCATGGACGAATCCACCTGGTGACTTCAGCCGCACTGATCAATGCCACGGGCATGCCCCGCACCACCCGCCTGCTTCAGCACCCACCACCTCGTTGGGCCAGAGGAGCCACACTTTACCAGTCACTACTAATTGGCTTTTTTAACATACTCACGTTGTACTGGATGGACGAATTCACTTGGTGGTCCAACAATTCAGCCGCAGTGATGAGAGCCATGGGCATGCCGCGCACGACCCGACGGTTTGACTCCTTCAGCACCCCCACCGCCTCATTAATCGCTTCAACCAGCTCGTCCGGTGCACTCGCCATCGTCCGCAGGCGACTCTCACTGTCCCTCCTCCTCCTCCCCTTCTCAGCCTCCTCGCCGTCCTCGTCCCCCTTCCTGCTCCCCTTGCTTCTCCCACCCTTGCTGACCCCTGTGGCGACCGAGATGTCCATGCCTTTGATCTCCTTCCCCGGGACACCAAAGGCCCGCGAGTCCAGGATGGAGTGCGCCCAGAGGTAGTCGTCGAACGAGGCGAACGCCAGGGCGGGCGGGCGGGCTTGGTCGTACTCTAGCCGGGCCATCGCCCGCTGGTCAAAGATCTATTTGTGGGATTGAAGAGAGAAACATGGGGAGAGATGGATTTAGACGAAGGGAGGAGAGGAGAGAGTGGAGGGTAAGTGGAGGAGCCCCTGGGGCGACTGAGATGTCCCTGGGGCGACTGAAAGGGCGACTGGGCCTTTCAGCCCTTCCCTGGCGCACCAAAGGCATCTATTTATTAGGCGCCTCAAAAATAGACTCCTCATGCCGTTGAGCTCCTTCCCCGCCCGCCACCCCTGTCACGACTGAGATGTCCATGCCAGTGAGCTCCTTCCCCGGCAACCAAAGGCCCGTGACTCCAGGATCGAGTGCGCCCACAGGTGATCGTCAAATGATGCAAACGCCAGGGCGGCCGGGCGGGTGGGCTTGGTCATACTCTAGCCGGGCCATCGCCCGCTGGTCAAAGATCTATTTGCGGGTTTGCAGGGAGAAACATGGGGAGAGATGGAAGGAGATGGAGGGAGGAGAGGAGAGAGGGGAGGGTGGAGTGAGCTCCTGTGGCGACAGAGATGTCCATGCAGTGAGCTCTTTCCCTGGCACACCAAAGGCCCGTGAGTCCAGGATGGTGTGCGCCCACAGGTAGTCCTCGAACGAGGCGAATCCCAGGGCGGGCAGGTGGGCTTGGTTGTACTCCAGCCAGGCCATCTCCCGCTGGTCACGGATCTGGAGTAGGGAGGGAGCAAGATGGAGAGGGATGGAGAGAGATGGAGAGGGATGGAGGGAGAAGGTCCTTGTGTCCTGGATGGAGTGCGCCCAGACATAGTCCTCAAACGAGGCAAAAGACAGGGCAGGTGAGGGGGCGGGCTTGAGTGTGCTCCAGCCGTGCCTTCTCCCGCTGGTCAAGGACCTGTGATGGGTAGGGGTGGATGGAGAATGCACGAAATGCCAGGAAAGTTGGGTTTTGAGAATTCTCGAAAACCAACTTCTCCCCCTGGACAAGGACCTGAGGTGGGGAGGGGTAGACGGAGAATGCATGAGCTGTCAGGATGGGGTGCGCCCACACGTGATCAGTTAGGAGCCCCTAACTGACTTTGCCTCATCCGAACTGTCGTTGCGAAAGCGGCACGGCAGCGGCTCGGCAGCTTCACATGTGCTATTCCCTCCCATTGCTCACCTCAAGTGCAGCATTGCATTCACAGCCAAACGCACGCACCATCTGCTTCACACGATATGATAAACTTTAACATTAAAAACTAAACCTTAAGTCGAGTTTTGAGACGTCACAAAACGAAACCCCTATCACACTGCCACACGCATGCACCATCTGCTCCAGCTGTGCCTCGACCGGGTTGCCATTGCGAAACCAGTACGGCAGCGCACATTGGGCGGCAGCGTCTCAATGTAGGGGCGTGTGTACACCCTCACAAGTACCAGAGGAAGCACGCACCATCTGCTCCACTAAGGCCAGCTGTGCCTCGACCGGGCTGCCATTGCGAAACCAGTACGGCAGTGCACATTGGGCGGCAGCGTCTCAATGTAGGGGCGTGTGTACACCCTCACAAGTACCAGAGGAAGCACGCACCATCTGCTCCACTAAGGCCAGCTGTGCCTCGACCGGGCTGCCATTGCAGAACCAGTACAGCAGCGCACATTGGGCAGCAGAATGTCAGTGTAGGGCCACCAGTTGCTTGAGAGGCACGGACTGCCTAGGGCCGTGCCCATACCAGTCAAATGCTCACCAGCTGCTTCACAAAGGCCGATTGTGCCTCATCTAGGGACTCGTTGCGGAAGCGGTATGGCAGCGGCACGTAGGGCGGCAGCATGTCAATGTACGGCCACCACTCGGACTGCCTGCCTCTCGCTTTCTCCCGCAACAGCCATGCTGCCATGGCCAGGTGGATGTCCACAGGGCCTGTTGAGTGTTGAAATAGATCCCCAGAGAGGAGAGTGGGAGAGAGGAGTGGGGGGGAAGGGGTTTTGAGGGGGGCAGCATGCCGATGCACCGCCACCACTCCGACAGCCTGCCTCTCGCTTTCTCCTGCAGCAGCCATGCCGCCATGGCCAGGTGGATGTCCACAGGGCCTGGTTGGGGTGGACACAGCGGGATTCGGGGGGTATGGGATGGTTGAAAGGAGGGGGGTCTCAATGTACAGCCACCACTCCGACTGCCTGCCTCTCGCTCTCGCTTTCTTCCGCAGCAGTCATGCCGCCATGGCCAGCTGGATGTCCACAGCGCCTGAAGTGGGGGGGAGAGGAGGGGAAGGAGGAAGCGAAAGGGGGAGGGAGAGAGGCGGAGGTGTGGGTGGGTTTGAGAGCAGATATCCTATTGACATGCACCCACCACACCACTCAGACTGCCTGCTGCTGCCCCCCCTCCCCAGCAGCCATGCTGCCATGGCCAGCTGGATGTGCACAGGGGCTGTCATTTGAGAGAGCGGGGTGTGGAGGGGAAGGTGGGAGGAAGGAGGAACGCCATCGGGGGTTCTGGGATTGAGGGCCAGGAACACTTGACAACGGGCCACCACTCAGACTGCCGGCCTCTCGCCCGGCTTCTCCTGCAGCAGCCATGCTGCCATGTCCAGCTGGATGTCCACAGAGGGCGGGAATGTAGAAGGGAATGAGGGAGGGAGAAGGGGGTTGAGGAGAGGGATAATTTCGACAAAATTTCTGACTGCAATGCCTGTGCGGGGCAGTTAAAACTAAGTGACCACAGTACAAGTTTGGCACTAAGTGGAATCAGCACAATGGGTGCGATGCGGTACCTGTGTGCGGTAGCACCCCCCTTTTGCACCGACCTGTGCTGTGACCCACAGCGACTGTGCATGGCTGCCAGCACCTCCTTGTGTGCTGCAGTGCCGTGCAATTGAACTCCTCTGTGGTCCAATGTGGTACTTGTGTGGGGCGGCATCTCCTCTGCTGCCACCTTGGCTGGGACCCACAGCGACTGGGGAATGGTCAGTGCACCTCCTTGTGTGCTGCAATGCGGTGCAATGGAGTATCTGTGCAGTGCAATGCGGTGAAATGGGATACCTTAGTCGTTCAATGCAGTACCTGTGTGGGGCGGCATCTCCTCCGCAGCCACCTCGGCTGTGACCCACAGTGACTGGGGAATGGTCAGCAGCACCTCACCCTCCCGGAGGTCCCTCCCTGCCAGCATGCTCATTTGGCGCCTGGGTCAAGGAGACGAGCAGACAGGCAGGGACACAGACACACAGGCAGACAGACAGGCAGACAGGCAGACATGCAGAGAGGCAGAGAGGCAGATAGGCAGACATGCAGACAGGCAGACAGGCAGGCAGGCAGACAGGCAGACAGGCAGACAGGCAGACAGGCAGACAGGCAGACAGGCAGACAGGCAGACAGGCAGACATGCAGAGAGGCAGAGGAGCAGAAAGGACATGAGCAGGAATGAGAGTAACTGGAAGTCAGCAGCAATTCGCCCTCCCCGAGGTCCCGACCTGCCAGCATGCTCATCTCACGCCCAAGGCATGGAGACAGGTAGAAAAGAAATGACGCAGACAAGCAGACAAGCAGACAAGCAGACAGGCAGAGAGGAGGGGAGGAAGAAAAAATTCCATGGAACAATGCTTGCATGCATAAATGTGCAGACGGGCGGAAGGAGCATGCAACGAAGCATGCACAACTGTGCGCACATGCGAGTTGACGTGGCTGGTTGCCAATCAGTTGTGGCAGAATGCAGACCTGACACGTGGCAGAATGCAGACCTGACTCGTGGCTTGGAAGTGGCATTGGTGGCAGTAGAGGGGTCTGAGGTGTTATCCACGGAGGGTGCGACGTCACGATGGTCGTAGAAATGAAACTGTCAATAAGGGGGATGCCAGTTTGACGGCGGGGGGTGGGAGGCAAGCGGCGAGCCACGACGAAGATGGCAGGCAGAAGGGGCAAGACACAAGGGAAATACGTCTGATTAGCTTCGAGGCGTCTCGAAAAGCAACAAGGACAAGATGTGAAAAGCAACAAGGACAAGATGTGAAAAGCAGTGCTTCATTTTGATGCTCTCATCACTCTGACTGGCCTCCCCACAGGGCTGCAGAGAGGCACAGTGCTGCTGCAGGACGTGAATAAGGCACTGTGCCTCTCCGCAGGGCTATACTCAGCTCGAGGCTACGAGCGGAGATGCATCCGTGCCATACTCCTTGATTCCCCTCCGCTGCACCAACTTTTTAAACGCCCTCAGCTTCCTCTGAGGCGACTGTTACATACACTCATTTTTTAAACGCCCTCCGCTCTGCTGCACCCTCTCTATGGACGCCTGCCTTCAGGGTGACTCTCGCACAGTCTCACCTTGAGGGGCGACTCCTCCGTGCCGAACTCCTTGATGCCCCTCCGCTGCACCCATTTTATAAACGCCCTCAGATTCCTCTCCTCTTCACCTTCAGCCTTTGAGGCGAATTGAACGCACACTCAGTGCAGGGGTAAATCAACGACTTCCTCACCTTGAGGGCGATTCATCCGTGCCATACTCCCTGATGCCCCTCCGCTGCACCCACTTTATGAATTCCCTCAGCTTCCTCTCCTCCCCATCATCCACCTCCCCTCCCTCCCCTTCCGCTCCGCCCACTCCTCCCTCCTCACCCCGCCCCCCTCTCTCTCGCCCTCTCCTCCCCCTCCCCTTGCCATGTGCTCCTCTCGTCCCTCTCCGCTTGATCCCTCCTCCCCAGGTGCAGGTCGAAGCGCGGGTCGCAGGAGAGCAGGAGCCAATCAGAGGCCTCCACGAGGAGCTGCTTGTGGTTGAGGTGGTGCTGGATCACGTGCTCCACCTCCTCCAGCCCCGTCATCATCCACGGCTCGCAGATCTTGTTGAGCAGAAAGGAACACAGAGCGGTGGGAAACGGTGAGAGGAAGGTGGGGGAAGAAGTCTTGCACTTGTGGGTTGGGGTGGTGCTGGATCACGTGCCCCACCTCCTCTAGTCCCGTCATCATCCACGGCTCGCAGATCATGTTGAGTGGCAAGGGGGAAGGAGTGGGAGGAGGGGAGGAGTGGGAGGAGTGAGTGGGAGGAGTGGGAGGAGGGGGAGGAGTGGGAGGAGTGGGAGGAGTGGGAGGAGGGGGAGGAGTGGGAGGAGTGGGAGGATTGGGAGGAGGGGAGGAGTGGGAGGAGTGGGAGGAGTGGGAGGAGTGGGAGGAGTGGGAGGAGTGGGAGGAGTGGGAGGAGTGGGAGGAGTGGGAGGAGGGGAGGAGTGGGAGGAGTGGGAGGAGTGGGAGGAGTGGGAGGAGTGGGAGGAGTGGGAGGAGTGGGAGGAGTGGGAGGAGTGGGAGGAGTGGGAGGAGGGAGGAGTGGGAGGAGTGGGAGGAGTGGGAGGAGGGGGAGGAGTGGGAGGAGGGGGAGGAGTGGGAGGAGTGGGAGGAGTGGGGGGAGTGGGAGTGGGAGGAGTGGGAGGAGTGGGAGGAGTGGGAGGAGTGGGAGGAGTGGGAGGAGGGGGAGGAGTGGGTGAGAAGAGCCCGGGGGGAGGGGAGCTGAGCTGCTCGTGGTTCAGGTGGCGCTAGATCGTATGCTCACAATCAATCTAGCATGTTCCCCAGGTGTTGTACCAGAGTGACATGGTATCCTCCTGCACCGAGTTTGCTTTGCACTTAGCTAAGTAACCCACCTGGCCCTCTCCCTCACGTCACCTTAAACATCTTCTCTGGTTGCTTCCCTCCCACTCGTTGCCACACCCGCCAAAAAGCACATAGTAATGCGACATGGCGTCTTCCAGCACCGAGTCCTTGTACTTTGCTAAGTGTCAGCCTATATCCTTCCCTCCCCCACTTTCCCCCCTCTTCCCCCTCTCTTCCCCACCTTACCCTCACAATCTTCTCTGGTTGCTTCCCTCCCTCTCGTTGCCACACCCGGCAGAAGGGCACATAGTACAGCGACATGGCATCTTCCTGCACCGAGTCCTGGTGCTTAGCTAAGTGTGCCTCCACCAGCTCCCTCAGTGTGCTCGCCATGACTCTCAGCACGGGTGTGAGTGATTCTAAAAGGTGATCGCGGTGGGGAAACTCAGTGAGGGAGATGTGGAGGGGGTTAGGGGAGTGAGCGGAGGAGTAGGATGCGGAGGAGGAGAGAAGGGGCATGTGAGTGCAGGTGGTTCTACCATCGAGGTTCCAAGCATAGGCGATGCTCACACGAGCAAAGAAGCTGTAGTGGGGTTCTGGGAAAGAGAGGGAAGAACGAAAGAAAGAGAGAGAAGAGGCACGTGCGTGCATGTGATTTGACTGTCGAGGTTCCGAGCATAGGCTACGCTCACACTGGCAAAGCAATTCCAATATATACATGTCCTGGTTGGGTTGGGCCTAGAGCACAAGAATTTACGGT